TGCGTGTCTTTCTCCGCAAGCACGCTTAGGCGCCATCTCAAAAGAGGGGTTCCTCACTTCCCGTGCAATGGTAGCATAATGCTGATGTGGTCCGAGAATACCCTTAGAGGCGGTGTGTTCAGGAAAGAATCTCTTTGTGTGGTTAGGGGTTTAGGGTTTAGGGGTCTACAGGGTTGAGTAGGCGTAGGGTTTTAGGTTTGTGGTTTTCGGGGTTTAGGGTTTAGGGGCGTAAGCCCAAGCATTAGGCGGGGATTCTTATTGTATGTCAGATGCCTACAGTTAAAATGCTTCCCAGGGTTTCTTTTTGGGTTTAGGGTTTTAGGGCTTTAGAGATGGGGAGTTTGGAGTTAAGGGTTTAGGGTTTAGGGGTTGAACGTTTAGTGGTTTAAGGGTTTGGGGTTTAAAGACTTAGGGCTTAAGGGTTGTGAAGGGAATTGGTGGATGGACAAGGAAAGCTTGTATTTTGGGGGTAGTGGAAAACGGACCAGTACACGGATCGATTTCCTCATTCCCAACGAAGTATGGAACAGACCGCAGAACTCAAACCAAGTTACCATAACAAAGCAACCGCGCCATTTATGATGTGCCCATATCATACGTGAGGGTCTCGATCACGATTCCTATAGATGTCCCAGTTTGCTCATTGATATTGACATGCGTTGGTACTTGAAAGCTTGAGTCCCTATACCCCAGCTCTTGAATCCCTAAACCATGAGCCCGAAGCCCCAACCCCTAAATCCTAAGCCCTTACGCCCCAACGCATCGTTCCCGCGCTACGCACTTCATCCCTAAACCCCAAACCCTAATCCCTAAACCCTAAACTGTTCTCCCTAAACTGTGATCCCTAAACGCTAAACCCTAATCCCTAAGCTCTGATAAACCGTAATCCGTAAACCCTCAGCTTAATCCTTAAATCCTAATCCCTAAGCCCTATGCCCTGGTGAGCGGAAAAAGGCGAAACCCCAAACCTTAAACTGCTCCCTAAACTCTAAGTCGCTCCATAAACCTTGAACCCCAATCCCTAAACCCTAAATTTGCTCCCTAAATCCTCATCCCTAAACCCTAAACAGCTCCCCAAACCCTAATCCCTAAACCCTGAACCGGTCCCTAAGCCCTATATAATCCCTACATCCTGAACCGTGCCCTAAACCCAGCCCTAACTCCTAAATCCCTAACGTTGACGTCAGCCCAGGAGGGACGAGCTGCTAGGGGCGAATCGGCGCTGAAGCCTGTGCCCATGGCTGCAGTTGGTTTTAAGGGTTTAGGGGTTTAGGGTTTGGGGTTAGGGGTTCAAGGGTACAGGGGTTTAGGGTTTGAAGGTTTAGGGGTTGAGGGTTTGAAGGTTTAGGGTTCAGGATTTTGGGAAGAGGGATTGGTAGGGTTTAGGTTGGATACTGCCCCCACCCAAACATTCTATAATCGGGGTAATACTAAGGGCTCTATGTATATATAAGTATACTAACATCCTTATCATACTGTTTCTGGCCGGGGGCAGTAGCTTCGGTTTAGGGGTCAAGGTTTCGGGCTGAACCCGCACTAAACCCTAAACCCGAAATCCTGGGGTGGGCAGTTTGGAGGTTACGGCTTACGCTCTTGAATTTAGGGCCTAGAGTTTAGAGCTCCAGGTTTAAGGGTCTGGGGTTTAGGGTTTAGGGCTCTCGAGTTTGATTGTGCAAGGTGTAGAGTTTCCAGTTCTCAGCCAGGGTGTCAACAAATTTCATTCTGTAGTGACAGTTGCGTGCGTTTGGAATACTTCAAGTCACTACAAACCCATACTAACTCCCAATACATCTTTGTGTAGTTGGGATTCTTTCCTAGGAGATCTGATTTCAAAATCCTTTTGGAGGTCTTCCAGTTTTGCTAATTTCCAAGCCATGGAACCTTGAACCCCGTCATCCAGTAAACTGAAGTGTCAATCCCTACGCCCAAACCACCAATGCCTCAACCTGCTCAACTTCTTCATCCATCATCCCCCAAACCCAACACCGCGATAGAAACCCTTAAATGAATCACTAAACCCCCTACTCTACATCCTAAACCCTAAGCCCTAAATCTCTAAACCTCTTGACTCTTAACCACTGCATCAGTAGGTGCCGCTGGCGGCCTTTGTCCAGGGTTACAAGCAGACGCTGTTCCACCATGTGGCTTGTTGTTACTTAGCAGGGAATACACGGCGAGATTCCCTTTGATGCGATCCCTGGGAGAACACAACCCTAAAGTTGAAGGGTTTAGGGATTAGGGTTTAGGATTTAGGGTTTAGCATTGAGGGCTTGGGTATGGCCGTTTAGGGTTTAGGTGTAGGGTGTAGGTACAGGGGTCTAAGGCTAAGGAGTAGATCTAACAGTAGCCACCCCAACAATCCCAAGGCAAATCCAGCAATCTTTTGCTCCATTCCCTATTCAATGGTATTTGACACTTTTTTGTTTTTCCAAGCACAGAGTAATAGGTTGTTTTCTGTTAGCTGGCGTATGGCGCACGAAGAATATATGCATACTCTTCAAGCACCAGGAATTTGCTTCGCATATCCAAACAACCAGCAACCTCGTACAATGCCCCTGCACAACTCATTTGCACTGCATTGTCCATGTTGCTTCCCACTCCGTTTGACTTTCCATTATGGCCTATATAGCTCTGAGCACCTTGCAGGTGGCTACTGTGGCTGCTAAGTGCATGTCGAATTTCTTCGACCACCACTTCCCGAAGGCTTGTCACATTTTGGCGTTTGAGATTGAGGCGTCAGGTGGCTTGGGGCCTCTGTAGGGTTTGGGATTCCGGGGTATGGGAGTCCCGCGTTTCAATTTTAGATGCGGCATTTTAGGTTGCGACAGGTTTAGTTTGTAGGGTCTAGGCAGGATGAACCCAAGCTTTTCAGCAACTCCAAGCCTTTAAGCTAGGACCCTGGTACAGTCACAGGAAGTCTTAGAATCCTCGTTGAAAGTTACACACATTCCCAAAACCTACACCCTAAACCTAAAGTCTAAGCCTAATCCCAAACCCCTAATCTTCATGTTTATCGCCCCTAAACCGTACACCTTAATCCCCTAGCCCGTATCCCTGAGACCCTAAACCTTAATCCCTAAGCCCCAAATAACACATAGTACTTTGCACGTTCTTTCTCTATTCCTTGAGGATGTTCAGAAAGTCCTGGGCTTGATCCCAAGCCGACTGTGGCAGAACCAAGATGTGACGACCCCTCCTTCGCTGGAGAGGCGAGGGTGGCCCCTCGGGCCGCATTTGTGCTGTAGTCAGAATTTCCTAAACAGGGGTACTGGGGGGATTATATACGGGAATGCTAGGAGTTTAGATTATAGTGAATTTATGGATTAGTTCTGTTATTTGTCTTAGTGTTATTCAGACTTTTTTAAGCGTCTGTTTCTTCTTGTTGTTTTTTTCGGTTTGGACTCATTTTTTTTGTTAGGGTTAGGGCTCATCAGGTTTTGTAGTTTAGAGTTCAGGGTTTAGGGGATTATGGTCTGTCTAGGATTTCACGGGGTTTGTTCAGGGTGCAGGGTTAAGAGTTTGCTTTTGCCTCATGCAGTTCACGTGTACCTGAGCTTGAGGGATCAGGGTTGGGGGTTTTGAGGCTTTTTTCTGCCCCGAAGCTCTCCTCCCCAAAGGCTACAGTCCTTCTTGAATGGGTTCTGCGTTAGTTTGGGGGCACCCTAAACCCTAATATCTTCGGGATTCTGGGCTCGTTCTGCGCCGGACGGACAGGATCAGCAGTACTGGGACACACCATGTATGGAATATTTGGCAGGTGCAGTGCAAATTTACGACTATTGTCTGCACTCTCTGAAAGGAGGTTTTGGTAACCCAAATCTCAAATGTTGGATCCAATCCAGTCATATGATAGATTTCGGTTCCTAACCTTTGGGGTTGCCCCCCAACCCTAAACCCTAAACCCCAAACCCCAAACCCTAAACCCTAAACCCTAAACCCTATGATCTTGTAGAAGAGAAGTTGGGCTTGAATCGGGACTGAAGAGCATGACATTAAGCACTGAGGAAGCGCTATGCCTATGCCATTGACAAGCAGATGGACCTGTCAGATTCCTGATTAATCATGGGTTCCTAAACCCTAAACCCCAATTAAGCGGTTTAGGGTTTAGGGTTTAGGGTTTAGGGCGTGGGGGGTAGTATAGGGAGGCTGGGTAGTGGGGGAACCCAGTAGGTGCACACGAGAATGCTTCGTGTCTGAGCACAAGTGCTCTGCTCAGAACCAAAACTTGACCAAAAGAGCACACTGCCCCTCGATCAGGGGTATCAGCTTCATGTAACAGTCATTATGGAAGTGGCTGTTACCGCTTTTGCTGGATAACATTCCTGAACGCGGACTGAAGCTAGGCGTGAAAGTGCAAAGCATTCCATTTTCATTTCGAGCATCCTCGGAGGTGCAGAAATTCAGCCATTAACCTGTTGGACTGCATTCGAGCATTGAGAAAAGTGCGTCTTGCCAATCCCGTCTGGAAGCACGAGGGTCCCTAAACCCTAAACCCTAAACCCTAAAGGGGGTCCAGTGAGGTGGTTCTGTGTGGTTGGCTTCTTCTAAAATGGGAATTAAGCAAAGCCATGTCCAAGGTTCAAACTTAGACCATGCAACCGTTGTCGTTCCGAATGTGGCTCATGGGCTGCTGGCTTACAGCTATAGTCCCCCTTAAGTGTATAGAATGTTGGGGTTCTATTGGGATAATGGAAAAGAAAATGGAAGCTACTATTTAGGGTTTAGGGTTTGGGGGTATAGTCCCCCTTTAAGTCGATAGAATATGGGGTATATGTTGATCTTATTACGAGTGACCCAAAGCCAGATTCTATCTATTTAAAGGGGGACAATACCCCCAAACCCTAAACCCTAAACCCTAAATAATAGCTTCCATTTTCTTTTCCATTATCCCACTATAACGCTAACATTTTATCTACTTAAGGGGGACTATATCCCTAAACCCTAAATCCTAAACTCTAAACCCTAAACTCTATATTCTACCTACTTAAGGGGGACTATAGCTGCAAATCAAAGTTTTCTGGCCCAGCAGCCTGCTGGACTACGCTGGCCCAGCGCAAATCAATTTGGCCTCCTGCTTGTTGTGTTCAGGGTTTAGGGTTTTTTTAGGGTTTTAGGGGTTTAGGGTTTAGGGGTTCAGGGGTTTTGGGGGTTTAGGGGTTTAGGGTTGAGGGTTTAGGGACCTAGGTCCAGAACTGCTTGAGCCAGAAACAAGAAGAATTCCATACTCTCTCACAAGTGTCTGGTCTAGAGAGCGCTAGTCGTTCAAGATGGACTTTGAACTCCGCACTTGAATCTTCCCTTTTTCACTTGGGGGTTGCCAAAATCAGTGTGCCGTTTTGGGGTCCCCATGTTGAGGATCGTAATGTGTGAGGAATATATAGCAGGGTTCATACCTCCTAAACCCTAAACCCTATGAGATTACCAACTTTGCTGAGGGAATGAACCCTTAGAGAAGCGAATGGTCTCACTGCTGACTTCGAGTAGAGTTGCAGCAAGTTTCTATAAGCGGTATTTCATTGACCAGCGCCTTGTCCCCGATAGAGAATAAGATAGTCTTCTCTTGCAGCTCAAGTATATGAACGAGAATCTCGCATTACGTTGGTTCAATCCTCCCCCATGAGGCACTACTCGTGTGGGGTTGCTCGTGCTTGCCAAGGAGGCGAACATGCCTTTCGTGTGAAACGCCCATATTAGTCTGACCTGTCCATGTTTCAGAATCATCTCCATGCCATCGAACTTAGGTGTTTTAGGGTCTAGGGGTTCAGGGTTTTGAGGCTTAGGGGTCTTAGGTTGACTTGAATCCCATGTGATTCGGGTGACTTGACTCCTCGTCATCCGGATGTCTGGCAAGCCATTGCGGTTCAGAGGTAGTTTACCAGCTTCTGGGGCAGAAGAGAGAGCATCATCATGGACGCTTCTACAAAGGACCAAGAGTTTAGAGTTTAGGGTTTAAGGGTTTAGGGTTTAGGTTTAGGGGGTATGGCCTGCAATTCCCGAATCCCCTGCTCCCGACTCTTTCAGATTGTTACCGCACCTCAGTTCGAAGACGTGACCATGAAGTTGTTTATCTGTCTGATTTATCGTGTTCAGGGTTTAGGGTCATACAGGTCTAGCCCAAAATTGCAACAGATCCTCGTGAAGAAGTAAGACCAGTATTGTCCCTTGCAATCCTTAGTTAAATTCAGTATAAAATACTCCCAAAACCTATCTGAATCATCGACTCCATACCCTATAAGCCCGAAATCCTGCCCGTTTCGGCACCGACAATAAAGTTCGAGCCTGAGGCCGCTTCCCAGAGCCCCTAAAGGATCTAAAAAGGGTTTAGGGTTTAGGGGTTAGGGTTTAGGGTTAATGGAACCCCCAATGTGGACCCATTCCTACATTGGGGAAACTAGGGAATTATTAGGGGGGTCCCATTTTTTGGATCCTTTAGGGGGTCTGGGTTGGAAAGGAAGGTAAGGGCCTGATGATGCTTGGGCCAAAGAGCCAGTTCCTCAAAACATCATTTGGAGTGTGGGGTTTAGGGTTTGGGGTTTAGGGTTTAAGGTTTGGGGTCTAGGGTTTGAAGTTTAGGGTTTGGGGTTTAGGGTTTAGGGTTTGGGGTATAGGGTTTGGGGTTTAGGGTTTATTGATCTCGAATGGGGACTCCTATGCCCTAGACCCCATACCCCAATTCATAAACCATTTGGAGAACTCCCGCCAACTAGAAGGAATCACAGGACCCAGTGTACAACATCCCATGATCCCTAAATACCCCCTATTGAAACTACCCTCATTCAAAGCTCCCTTCCTGGGGTTGGTCCTAGCCAAGTGCCTTCAACGAAGGAGACGCAGGCGCAGATTCTGCAAATGACCCAGTTCATCTTGAACGAGGCGCAGCGGTCCAGTTGGGTAGTTCAGGCAAGAACCTGACCCTATTAACAAAAAACATACGTAATTAAGACACGACAGCCCTAAACAAAAAGCCGAACGCCTCGCAACCTAAAATGCCAATGCCTTCACACTGTGAAACCCAATACCTTAAACCCCGAAGTCCACAAACCCTAAGACCCTAAACATCAAAACCCTAAACCCCTAAACCCTGTAGCAACTAGACCCTAAGACCCAAAACCTTGAACCCCTAAAACCTGAAAACGCGAAACCGTGTTTAGGGGATCTATTGTCCCCCTTACGTGGATAGAATATGGCTTTGGGTATATTATAACGAGCCCCCCATATACCCCATATTCTATCTAATTAAAGGGGACTATAACTTTTTGTTGCCAGGGCAGAGGCCTGATCCTTGCGATACGGAGGGCTCGGGGATGTCCTGCAGTGTTTAGGTTTAGGGTTTAGGGTTTAGGGTGGGTCCTAGGGATAAAGGTTAAGGGTTGTAGGATTTAGGGCTCAGTGCTTTTAGGGACTAACAGACTAGCATTTAGGATTTTGAAGTTTAGGGTTTAGTGTTGTAGGGTTTCAAGGGTTGGTGTTCATACTTGCAATGCAGGTTGACATGGAAAAGACATTGGAGAATGAAACGAATACTCGGAATCTTCGGATTATACAGTGGTTCATAGGGGTCAGCGGAAGCCTGAATACGTGCCAACTTCATTGCTTGAAACAACTTATCAGATTATACGCCCTGATTATTGCCAAATCCTTATGTTGATTGTTTAAGCACTTTCATTATGCGCTGGGATCAGGGTTGAGGGTTAAGGGGGCTCGGATCCTATTCTAGCTGCTGCTTCTGCGAACCCTTCATAATGCCTAATCCCTAAGCGCGAATTCTTAAGCCTTAATCTCTAAACCCTAATCCCTAAAAAGCCTAGTCCCTAATCCCAAAACCCAGTTCCGATTTCATTCTCCTTCATTCACACGAGACCTTCGACTCTAAAGCCTAAATATCCCTAAGCCCTAAACTCTAGATCCCAATATTCCTATATATCCTCAATATGGCCATCTATCCTTATACTCCTTTTCTGAGCTATAGTCTACACTCCTAGTATCCCCCCTAATAACCCTTATACTACTACCCTATTTCCTTCATATAACCCCTTTAAGGAGCTTGTACCCTAAACCCTAAACCTTACATATCCGTCTCTAAGGAGTTTAGACTGTGGCTCATATATCCTTCGTATCGTAAAATTTGGGCACTGCGCTACTTGAAGGCAAGAGACAAAGCCGAGGAGATTGACACCAAGGCATTGCAGGCGCTGGCGGATTCAGGGTTTAGGGCTGTGATGGAGTTACATTATATGTGGATCCTGTCAATGGGGATTTATTGGTTTTTTTCCTAGGGGCGTAAGAGCGTAACTATTCTTGTTATGTACACACCGATAAGGACTTGCAAAGGTGAGAAAATCTTTTGACTGCTGACACCTTCAGAAGCAAATCTCATTGTCGCTTACATTATGGCCACTAACACTAAACCCTAAACTCGAAACCTTAAACCCGACACCCTACCTAGTGTTCAGATATTTAAAAAACTTCGTCCGATCTCCCTGAAACATTTCCTACAGATTTGTTTCAACTTACTACAAGGACCTTGTGGCCCTAAACCCTACAGCCCACCTTAAGTAGATAGAAAAAGGGGTATATGGGGATCTTATCATAATATACTCAAGGCCATATTCTATGTATTTAAGGGGGACTAGAAACCCTAAGCTCTAAACTTTACTACAAGGACCTTGAGGCCCGTTATAGGCGAAAGAAGAGCACAGGCGGTTGTGCCCAGCTCGCTTAATTCCAGGGAAGCCTGAACCCTAAATCCTGAATAGTGGTTTAGGGTTTAGGGTTTCCACTTCATTTTCATTTTCTTATCCATATGATTCTCCAGTCGTATAACCCCTATATACTCATATATAACTACTTGGAGGTTCAGGGGGACTTAGTAAGTAGGTTAATAATGGGGGTAATTACGGTTAATATTTGGGTTATATAGGTTATTAACCTACTTACTAAGCCCCCGTGACCCTCCAAGTACAACGCCTATGCGTAGTTTCTATGTATCCCTATTTATTTACTCCCTAAATACCCTCGGGGGTCTCTGCCAAGGTTTGGGTACCTATAACTGGGTT